CGGAACTTCCATTTTTGACCGTAGTCAATATCCCTTCCCATAATCGTTCCGCATGGAATTGGGGCAAACTAATTGGTCTTAAAATTTGCATAAACGACTCAAATTTTGACACTTGGATCAGCCTAAAATTTGTAGTTTGCAAAAATTTCATGTACCAAAAACAATTCGAGACCAATTCATGGACAGTCGGAACAATCAGGGCTTTGCCCTGATACGAGCAGTCTTGTTTTTCGTATTTACCGAATGCACGAAAAAGCAAAAAGCCTAGTTGCGCTAGAGTACCTAAGACAATTTCCTTTGCAGAGTCTAAAGAATGTTCACTAGCCAAAGGAAGTATCAAGATTATAGGATTCAACCAATTGATGTGCCAATTCTTATATTCATTTCCGTGAAAAGAGACTTAAAAATTAAATCTATGACATCAGTGCGCTTGAAACTCAAAAGAAATGACATTTTTCGATGCTCATGATGTGAATAATTTTTCACGTGAATTACTTGAAAAAGCCGTAAACTCCAAATCTTAATTAGTAAATTATCGGAGTGTGATCATAATTTTTGGATAATGTAATAAGCACATACAAGATGACAATTTAAGATTTGAGAACCAAGAATCTTAAATATTGGCGAATAAATAAAAGCAAAAATAAAAGTCCACCAGAGCTGACTCCAGAAAGGGAAAGGTCCCCCAGAGCTGCCTCCAGATCGGCAGAAAGCCCCCCGCCCCAAAGATGCAGAAGAGCGGCAGAAGATCCTCCAGAGCAGACACCAGAGACTACACGACCCCCTTCAAGGGCATCAACCTGAATCACGGGCTGCCTCAGAGGTCCCCCAGCAGTTCAAAGTCTACAGGATCTCTACTTCTTCAAATCTACATCTTCAAGGCCATCAAACCGTGCTAACATTCTACTAGCTTATCTCAGTCAATTCAAAAATCAGAGTAGACTCATTTTCAAACTTTTTCTCATAATCGTGCTAAAATTTTTAAAAATTATATCCACTGTGCTTTGTATTCATCATTCGCTTGATATCCATAACTTTGCCATAAAGTTGATTCATTGTTAACCCTCGGGGTGCAAAGGTGGTTTTATTATGTCAAAAAACCATAGTCAAAATCTCCTTACCCGAAAAAAAAACAAAGAAAAAAGGACAAGCAATGTAACATGCCATTCCAAAAGTTTTCTCGAAACTTGTGAAAAAACCTAAGAACGCCTATAGCGTAATATTTCCATTGAAAACTGAAACCAGTGAGATTTAAAAAGTATTCTCAACTGATTCAAAAAGTTAAATTGTTATCTCAGTTTACCGCTAAAATTCAGTTTCCAAGTTTCACCGCTAAAAACACTATCAAAAAGTACTTGGTACTTAATAGTTGAAGTACGTGAAACTTCATAATTCTTAAAGTCTTATAAAAGCCCTATACGAAATACGCATGCTCGTAGTGCCAGCAGGACCGTTCGTATCTTTTGTCTAAACCTATTTTCTTCCATTTCGTAACTTTGCTTCTAACCTTATTATACAAATTCTATAACCTTTTCACTATTTTAATAATGGCTCCAAAAATCTCACAACAAGCGCTCATAAACAAATAGACGTTTCCCAAGACTTCTCTTGAGAGCCTTGAATTACAATTTAGCAGCAAAATTGCACAATCTACGGAATTATGGGATGTTAAAATAACGGCTAACGAGCTTTTGAAATGCCTGCAAGAATTGAAAGAATTGGCAGATGATATTTGATGCTACAACAAAAAAGGCACTATCTATCCCGTTTGCGTTTCGCCAGCCAATCCGCTACGACTACACTACTCAAGTAGTATACACTACGACAGAGAACTTGAGATCTATGCAGCAGTTTCCATGGCCATCACATGGACGACAATGTGATGATATGTACGGTCGACCTAGATCCTATGAGAAACCTGAAATCTCTGGAATTGATCAATTTCCATTGAATCTATCATTACAACAGTCACAGACTGGTGCGAATGTTCTCAACATGCCTTCTACGGATCGGCCGTGTTCAAGAAGCTTGACTCCAATCAATCACGGTCTATGTTGTTCTGATCAGAAATACAAAAAACAACACGTTTCATTACAGTCTCAAATGTTTTTTAGGCTTCCTAATACTATGCTCCCAAAGTTCGACGGTAATCCATTAGAATGGAATAAGTGATTTGAGCTGTTCTAAACTGCAATAGAAAACAATCCCAAGTTAACTGAAGTGGAAAAATTATTTCACCTGCATTCCCTGTGTAACGATAAAGCCAAAAGCGTTCTGTAGAGATACAGCACGAATTCTTCACAATATATTCAAGCAATAGAAGAGCTAATTCGCAGATATGGCAACCCTAAATTCGTTGTTGCAGTTTTTACCAACTGGAAAGTTTTGAGCGACTGCATGTTAATGAACCTCAAATCTTCTTCAGGTTTGCTGCTGTTCTACGTAAGCTGGTGCCGAATTTCGAACTAAACAACTACACGTCCGAATTCTGTTGCGTTTTTTTTTGGGCGGGAGGACCCACAGCGGAAGTGAAGCTTTTTCAAAACAATCGTTTGATTTTTCGAGATCGTAACTCCCCCACTTGTTCATACTTTGCGCTCAACTTTTCTCATATGGATACGAAAAGTCTCCTGCAGCCCCCATCGTCGTCTAAGATAGTTTTCACATGCACAGTTTTTCCAGTTTATTTGAAATTTCTGGCGATGTATAGGAATCAGCGAAGATCTAATTATGTTTCTTAAGTCTGTGAGCTTTTAACATAACTGAGATTGTGAGAATTGTCCGCAGAATAGCCGAAATTAAATAAACCAGTTGGTTGAGGGCAAGGTAAAAATTCCATGAAACTACCCTTACTATTTTTTAGAAATTTAAAGGACCACCAATGTTTTTTTACTATCATCTGGCACAAAAGAATGACTATAAAATTCTTGGGATGTCACATTGGTTTTTCAAAATTTGTTTGTCGCACTATTTTTTCGAGCCTACAATTGAAAACACGGAGCTTCATATGATTGTTGGCAGTTTTAGGACGTATTTTGAGCGGTTGCTTTACTGCATAACGTCTTCGTCAACGCATTTGAAACCAGGATTTGTTGTTTTCGGCAAAACCTAAGTAGCATCGATAAAAACCCGTCAACTGTCAAGCTGGAACTGCATGCGGCGAGGAGAATTTTGCTTAAAATGGTTAGCTTACATGGTTAGCCAAAAATTTTTCCAAAAAAATCTACCACTTGTCAAGAACCTTCAACTCAAAATACGTTCAATGTTCGGAAATTTGTTCAATGTTTTTAATCAAAATTTTGACAATTTGATAGGCTTACTATAATTGCCCCAGTTTGATTCAGAAAATACTTTTTCTTAAAAAATGTAACCACTCACTATTGAACCTAATTGCACGATTCTCATTAACCCTGGTAGAACTCGAGTGTCTGTTTTGTAAGTTTTTTTTTCAAATTTTCTTGTGGCAACTTGTCACTTTATGCATAAATCTGTCAGACTCCATAATGCAATGTGTTTTTTGTATCAATTTTACATGATAAAAATTTTTGTAAGATTTTTAGGCTCTTTTCCAGTCCCACCCTTCAAATTCAATTTTGAAAAGTCGTTCTAACATTGTCATAATGCATTGAAATTTGGCGTGGTGAACAAATCGACAATTTTGAACATATTTGTTCTTCATACTTTACAGCGTAACATCATGCATTTAGCCGTAATAACACGTAAAACAAACATAAAACTCGGTTTTTTGAAAGGGGGGACTGGACAAGAGCCAATTTTTAGAAGCTAAGCATTTGCGGAAAACATTTCCCGCACTGACAAAAATGGATAAGGATCAATTTTAGTATGAAAAAAGTATGTTGATAAAACTTAAATCGATTTTAGTATAGAAAAAGTACGTTGATTAAATTTAGATCGATTTAAGTATGAAAAAAGTACGAAGAATAAATTAAAAAAGATGAAGATTGATTTGGATCGATATAAAACCGATTTAATTTGATCTTAAATCCCAGCTAGGAAAATTGATCCAAATCGATTTTAAATCATTTTAAATGCATTTTTTCCAGGTCTGAATTTGTTTTTATTTCTAGGGGGATTAAATCGATTTTTTTTATTCGAGTTTTATCAGTTTAAAATTTTTGTTGCATTTTTTTCTTGCCTATCATTTTTCATTTTACATCCATAGCGTATTGTAGCATAAAACAGACCAAATAAAATGACCAAAATATCGATAAATTCAATGATTTTCTTGCATATTTTGAGTTCAAAAACTGATCCATATTGACCCTTTTCTTTATTCGTTTCATTGAATTCTATAACATCTGGCACAACTGTTTATGTTTAAAAAATTGAGAATGAAAAAATTCCAACAATTTTTTCAAAAGGTATGTTTTTTTTGGCCGTGTTAACAAAAAAATCAAATTTAGTGTGTCGGAAAATCAATCGAAATCGATTTTTAGACACTTAAATTGATTTAAAATTTTCAAAAAGATCAACTTAAATCGATTTAAAATGGATTTAAGTGAGATTCTGATGGATTTAAGTGAGATTCGGATGGATTTTAGTGAGTCGGAAAATCCATCGAAATCGATTTAAATTGATTTTTTAGACATTTAAATTGATTTAAAATTTTCAAAAAGATCGCTTTAAATCGATTTAAATTCCATTTAAGTTCGTAAAATGTACATGGTTAATCGATTTCGATCGATTTAAAATCGATTTAAAATCAATTTAAATCAACAGGAAACCATTTCTGTCAGTGCGGGTTAGCTCAGCGTTTTAAATTTAACAAGACTGCTCGTGTATCAGGGCGAAGCCCTGAATGTTCCGACTATCCCTTAATTCAATAACCAAAGTATCCTATGAAATTGTTGTAAGATCTTTTATCCAAACATTCATTGTTAGGTTTTAATAAACATTTGTTTTGGATAAGTCGTCTTAAATCTTAAACTTATACAATCTTAGAAGACAAGTATTTAAATTAAAATTTTTAAATTTAAAAACTATGTTTGTGACTCGTTAAGGCATATTTCTTCTAGAGTTTGGTTAGTTTCTGGAGGCTGACAGCCACAAGTTATTTCGCAGTTGTTTTTTGAACTAAGTGTCCTGAGATCCTTTTTGGCAGTCGACAACTCTGATTGACATTTGTCTGATGATGACTTCTCCGTCTCTTGAGATTGAGAAGCAACCGGGCCGAAAAAGCTGAGAACAATTGGCAAAAACACTATTCCGTAGAAAAAACTCAATGAGAATAATAACATCATAGATTTGAACATATCTCGCATTACGTAAGAACTTCCGAAGCCCAGCATCGAAACTGACAGTAAGCTCGACAATGCTGCATTCGTAAGAGGCACTCCGATATTACGTAATGCGAGTCGCGAGGTCTGTTCTCGGATTACGTCATCAGAAAGTTCCCTGTTTGATTTTGAGCCAAGAAGGTGTGATATATCTTCCTGATCAAGCCTGGACAGCTGTTGTGAGGCGCATAGATAAGCATGTCCACTGTGCGAGATGTAGTCGATGCATAGACCTATAACAAATAGAAGACTTAAGCAAACCTTTTTCTAACCTTTTGTGTTTTAAAAAAAACCGGTAAACTTTGCCTTGAATACCTTACCAACATGTGTTTGCTCATCATTATGTTAATTTTAATGGTCTCACAAAAAATAATTAGTTTGGCAAAACTTCTCTGCTCTGCTCGCCCCGCTAGGCAAGAAAGATAGGGAGTTCAAAAGTCATTAGTTACTAAAAAAATAAATTAAAATTTTCTACTCTACGCGTAGCAACAGATTGCCAACAGTGTTTTCACAAAAAAAATCTATGAAATTTTGGGAGATTTCATAGAAAAAAAATTTGCTGAAAATTTTTTTTGTATGAATTCTATCCCAATTTCAATTAGTTAGACCATTGAAGTGATTCTTTTTGCAAGATTTGCCGAATTCCGTTGAGTCTTTTTGTTCACGCATGTTTTTGCGGTTTATGGAATATTCACTGCATTTGTGCTCTGCGAGATTCTATAGTGCTGACTCGGTCAAATTATTCGGTTAAGTACAAAAAAGGTGATGCCTGAACGGGGAACCATAGAATAATTTTTGATTGGTGCTTTTTCGAGCAAACTGGATCAGTAGGTCATTTTTTTTTTCGCTGGGAAATCTGATAACTGATTTCCTTTTTCGGATTTACGAGTCAATCACGTCTATCGATCGTGACTTTTGATTGTTTGCTGGCTCGTATTCCTTCTCTCCCCCCACCTACAATTTTTTATCTTTTAAATTACTATTCACTTTGCCAATGGTCATGAAAATTGACATGCAGACTAATTAGGCCATGACAAACATATTTGGTTTTCATTAATAACTTTGTAAAACCACTCGTTAGACAATAAAATTCATGTTGGTGTGAGGTGGGGTAGGGGGGAGAAAAAGAGCCGTTTGATGTTCGATAGTGGAGTTTGCCTTCCTTTCAAGAAAAAAAAACAGAACCTAACAAGGATAGCTTGTTACTGTGCAAGTAGCAGAGAATGTTCCGACCATAGTTTTTAGAAAACTAAGCCTTAGAAAGTTTTTTTTCAAATTTGTGTTATTTTTTCTGCTCGGTGTGATAAAAAGATCTTACGTAAGCATATAATTTAGGTATGTTAGACAGTCATAGTAACATAGGCAAATTGAACAAAAATTTTCGATGAAAATTGACTAGAAAAACTCGGTTCCAAAAAATGCAGCAAAAAACTCTAAAAAAAAACAGTTTTACTTGCTTGAAAGAAATGTTTAAGGTCTCAAATTAGCCATAATTGAAGCCTGCTTTTGTTGTAAGCTTGCTCGCTTGCTTCATTAGCTCGGATTTTTCTTGATTTTTATATATCACTCAACCCAATCTGATGATTCTTTGTGATACTTGATTTTGCGTGAAAAACAAAAAAAGAAAAAAACTAAAACACACCCGAATACAAAGTTTTTCCTCTCCATTTTCATTATTGGTCGGAACAAAAAGAAAACAAAATTCAAAATGCACAATCATATGGAGCGTCAATAAATCACCACCACCTATATTTGAGCATACGCACTTTGTTCAGGCTTAGTTTAGTCTCATGGCAATCTCTCATAAAATATTTTGAAACCTTTTTTGAATTTTTTTATATATAATTATGCGCATGCAATGACTTCAATTTGGAACAACTTATTATGATTATGATAAATCAAACAAAATCTTACTAGGCGACCAAAAAATGATTAGAAAAAAAACAGGAAAAACGCCAGACAGAAAATGGAAGTGACATATTTGAACTGAAAGAAGTAATGGAAACCATACAATACGACCAAAAACTTTTGTTTCTGACTCTTAATTTTGCGAATGTCAGAAATTGATTTTGACTTGTCATCAACAGAGTTCAGAGGTTCTCTGAAATATCGATGCAAGAAATCACTCAAGGGCTTTGCTCGAATTGTGACAAATTGGATCAAAAGGTTGGAAATGCAGTAGGCTTCGTCCTGTAAAAAAATGTTGATTTTGCATCCCTACGCAGAATTTCGCTTAAAAACTGTAGAGAGCTGTGATAAAAAAACTGTGATCGGATGTGTTGTTTGATATTTGTGTCATATGCACTGGCGCTTCTTTTTAGTTGAAGCAGAACCTCATGTTCTAAAGAAAACAAAAAAATTGAACCAGCCTGCCAAGAGGGACACTTTTCTTCATGACACTGGTGATTTTTGTTGGCGGCGGCGTTATAGCATCGAATTTCATTTACCCTATGAGCAGATGGATTGATAGAAAATTGAAACCGTCCTTGTCAGTTACAAAAACAAAACTGAGAAACTGCACAATCATAGAACTGAAAAAGCATTTGACACAGCAGATCATTTTTACTTGTTGAAAAAGATACCAGTTATAACAAATAAGAATTCCGATTCGTCAGAACAAATGATCATATTTGAGTCAAAGGAAACAATATCTAGCCACTAAAGATAGAAACCTAAAGTTAAGGGAAATTCGCTTTGATGTTCCTCAAGGATCTATTCTTAGTCCTTTGCTTTTCATACTTTATATTACTGATATCGACTAAAAAAGCTTAAAACCTGTGCTATACGCAGATGACACAGAGTTTAAGAAAAATACACTAATAAATGTCGTGCATGCTGAGCATCAGGTTGCTTTGAAAAGAAACAACAGACTGATTACAAGGAAATAAGCTACCATTAAACGCCGATAAAACAAGAAACTTTAAATTTTAGCAAGAAAAACCAAAGAAAAATTCAATCTGCGAAGTGTTAACTTAAATGATCATGCAATTGAGTGAAAGAAAATTTTGATTTTCACGTAAACGAACAGCTGAATTTCGATAAACATGTTGATTTTCTCGTGAAAACCTCTTGTTATAATTTACGAAAGTTTGTTTTGAACAAGCACTTTGTAACAAATTAGAAAAAAGTTTTCGTGAAACCTATTTTACAGCATGGTATTTTGGCTTACGCATCCACAAAGAAGTTCAAAAAAGGTATTTTGGATCATAAAGTGTTATATTGATCTGCTTATTCAGATTGATCTTATGAGCAGGTAAACGTCATTTAAACACCAAATAATTAAAATCAAGTTGTTTTTTTTTGCTAAGGAGATTCAATTGTATGAACTAATAAAAATTCTCAGATAAAAAAGCCTTTGTTCGGCTAGGTAATGCTCGACATTATCCTAAGCTATCAACCTATTTTTTTTATCAAACAAAAAAATATCCAACCACAAAATAAATTCATTCAATCTCAAATGACTGATACATTATCGATACATAATCTATAACGAAAAATTTTCCGGAAATAGTTTCTATTTTTTAAAAAAGATCGATGATTATTTTTTGTATTTTTTAGTTACTTTTCCTTTTTTCGTTTTTAGGCAAAAAAAAACACTAAAATTGAAATCTATTTAGCCACATAATTGAAATTTAAGCATTGAGAATTTATTTCTCACTGAATATCAAAAATTTATTAAAAGAATTTCCGCTCTGAGGCACCTGTGAACGGAATTGTAGGTCCATGGTGCTCTTCCACGCAGTAAAATTGTAGAATTGGTTAGTAAATTGATTAACTACCCACAATGGAATTGCCCGAAAACAATTTATTATTTTTTTATAGTTATAATATCAGTTGTTTAAAATCATGGACCTCTGGAGAACAACAAATAATTGCATAAAAGGACGACATCAAAGGAGGGATCCTTTGGCGTGGCACACGGTAGTGCCATTGGATTGTTCTGAATCTTTCTTAGAATCACTTTGCTCTCATAAAAATGGCTATTTGAGTGAATCACCGATGTTTGTTGGTGGAGATCACGGTATATCATTTTGCGTCACCGCGATGAGACATTCCACTCAAAATTATCTTTTTTTTCCAGCTATCTGGATCACGGATATGCTGAATATGACTATAATGTTGGTGATATTTTTGCTTCAACAGTTACTTTAAAGTAGTTTGGGCGCAGAAGCTTATTAAACTTAGAAGTGATGAGAACTTCAAAAAAGTGGAGATTTATTAAGACGCGAAATACAACCATCATTGTACATTTTGAGAGCTGTAAGAAATGTAATTTTACTATTACCAACCGATGAGCAGGAGGACGATGATGTAGGTGGCGATGTTGTAGTGCATTCCGAGGAGGGCCATGAAGCCCATAGTAGTGGCCATAGCGAGTGTGAGAGTGGCAATGACAGTGAGGAAGAGAGTGGGTGTGGGGAGGAGGAGCCATGCTATGGCACTGCAGCAAAGTATGGCCACTAGGACACTGTGCCAGATGCTCTCTTTCATCAGACTGTTTCTCTCGATCAACATCATCTCAGAAGAAGCAAAATAGACCTAAAACAAGAAGACTATTTTTTAACAAATAAATAGGCAGAAAAAAGTTATAAAATGAACCAATTCTTTGCAATAGACACCAGTTAGGTTTTTGACCGATTAAGTTTTCATTTTCCAGCTTTTCTTCGAAAAGTGTGTTCGAATAATCAATTGTGTTTTGCCTTAGAAAGCAGAAAGCGCACAGCTGGAGCAGATTTTTTGATATCTTAGTCATTTTCATGAAAAAATTTGCATAATTGATTTACAATAGTTGTTTTTGTTTAGTAATGGGGATTAAATAGTACATGATTTTACCTTCCTGTTAAGTTATTTCAATGAAAAGTTTTATTTTACATGAATTGACTCAAATAAGCATAAACTCCTCACAATAAATCTTACCTTAAAAGGAACTGAATCAATTATTTTTTGCAGCTCTTCCACAAGCGAAAAACCTTGGTCGAAGCTTGAACTCTCGATTTTCTGAAAGGGAATCACGAATCGACTTTTCTCAATGCCCATTTCATCTTCAGATATTAGCACGTCATTTTGATGACACCTGTTCATTAAACCACTCATGTAAACTTCAAAACTACTTAAATCGTGTTTTTCAATTCCGAACCGAAGCTTTAACTCATTGACATAATCTCGCATGTCATTATAGTTTTGGTTCGGAATTTTCTGGAACCATGGTTTCTGCATTAGACTAGAATTCGATTTCAGAGCCATCCGATTCTGCGTGAGTCGCGAGTAGAAATTGTCCAATAGAAGGCGAGTGTGTGTGCCGTTGTAAAAAAGTGGCTCGTCAATCACAAAATGCATCATCATGGGATCTGCCGGGTAAAACACGCGAGAAGTTGCGTAGAACTCCATGACGCGAGAGTTATCAGGTTGGAAGCCCATCTGAAAACAAGAATGCGTTGCTCCAGACATTTTGATTTCTTGGTTAGTTTTTAAAATTAAATTTCGCACTTTTCATTAGGCTGATTTTGTAGCTTTTGCAACCATAACTATCGATGGGTTTTTTAACATTTAACTCAAAATATACAAAGCATATTCAAATAGCGGAAAGTTTCGACTGCTTCGTTAGCTCAGCTTATCTCATTCAAAAACTTCTGTTCAAAAAATTTAGATTTTGGATTTTTTTGGTCTGCAAAAACTGATTTGCCAAAGCACTAAAAAGATCCTGATTTAGCCAACTTTTTTTTGCCGAACTTTCGAAAAACAGGCCAAAAGTAGGTTCGTCAAAAGTAGGATCATAATTTTTCATTCTAACCTCATTAATGTACTGCTTCATATTGTAGACTCTTCCCACAGAAATAGTGATCGCAGCGCCGACCAGGAAAATAGCCGACACCCTGACATAATTATTAAGCACCACTTTGTGCAGATTGTCGCTGATGAATCGCTCAAGAGTGTTGAACACAACTGAATCGTTGCTTTCTTGCATTTCTATGCCCTGATTCGTGAAGTTGATGGCATGTTTAGGCACACTGGATACAAACCCGTTCGCACGTGATGGATTCTGAAAGATAAAAACACATTTTCAATAACTTCAATATTGAATTCGATTGTTCAGTTGAATGAAATCTGTTCCAATGACAAAGAGGAACGCAGAAAAAATAGACAAATTTATATTTCACTTCCGTTTGGACTGCCATCAGCTAAATCTAAAACTAACCAAATTACTCGACTTGTGATCGTCGGCAAAAACAAAAATGCTGAGTTAGTCTAAGTTTCAGGGGTGCTGCAGTACATCTACGAAAAAACAGTCAATGTGCAAGTTCAATAAACCCATTCCAAGCCCCAAAGTTGTCAATACCCACACATTATGGAGACTCGCGCAACTTACGCGTTGATTTTTCGAGAAACCAGAATCGGCTTTTGATGTCATCTGGTGTCCATTTTGTTCGTGAACTCCGTTGACCTTTGGTAATGATGACGTAGCTGGTTGATTGGCCGATGATGCCAATTCGTGATAGAAAGACAGACAGCCGATGAGAAATGTACTCTGCAGAAGCAGCAGGAAAAAAGTGATGGCAGCTGAAACATAACTAGATCATGTCAAACACATCAGTGAGCAGAAAAAAAATAACTTTAAAAAAAATGAGCCCCTGAGAACAAATTGAAATGACGCCATCAAAAATGCTAGCACACAAATGATACCTAATAACTAACAGACTGGGTGAGACTGTTTTGAATGCAACCCTGATCTAAGGGAACCGATAAACAGCTGCTTTGAAAAACAATCGATTGGATACCTCGAAAGAATGTCATATCTAAATTCTAGCTCTAATAACCAATTAATTGCCAGACAGTATGACTTCTTTAGAAATAATTTAGCGTTGGTTGACCGAAAATGGATGTGAAAGAGTAGTACCAAAAGAGAAAAAACGATATTTTGGGTAAATAGGGATCGAATCCCTGAGAGGAAGCTCCGCCCCCGTTTGGTAGTAGCTTATCTTTAAATTAATGATGCCGATCGAAGGAATTCAAAACACAACTGACCTAAATAGTAGCACGTGATGTTGACAGCCTGGTAGGGAGTGAATGAGCCAACGAGGAATGCGAGTAGGGCAGTCGTGTCAGAGATGAAGACGGCTATGAACGAACTCTTCATCGTGTTCCCAATCACTTGTTCACGCTCACATATACTGCTGCTGCTCAACACTACTTGGTTCACGCCTGATAAAATGAAGACCATAAAGTCACATTTATCACTAAATCATCACCAAATGGCAGTTAGAAAAGTGTTAATGAACACGAAATAAAAAATACATACATTAACGTTCAACTTTCAAAATACAAACATATCACAAAAAATTATTCATAAATCATTTGTAGAATTTTATGGTAAACGCTTTTTTCTGTAAGAGTTATTCGATTTTCGAAATCGTGATGAACTAACAGAACATTTATTCCTGTAACAACCTTGTAAAAAGATTCTATGAAAACGGGCCAACGCATTTCTTCAAGTTTCATATATTTTATTGGAGTGGTTTAAATGTCAGTGCCTCTTGTAAAAGTTGTTTTTGGAAGTTCACATAATCTAATCAAGATTACTAAATAAATCAACACAAAAACCACACTGTTTAAATTTAATGTCGTTGTCTTGAAGGCTAAAATTGGGGCTCCCCGCAAAGACATTTAAGGGCGGTGGACGTCAACTTGATTCTGAACTCGAATTTTCAGCCAATCAGAATAGAGCGTTTTACACACAGCGCTTAGCAAATTTTATTTATAATAAACGCTAGAGTGGAGGATCATAGATTGGTCTAATTGGGGGAGGATGTTAACTTGATCCATTTTAAATTTTGCAAAAGTATAGTTTGCAAAGTGATTGTTTTCAATTTTTCAAGGCTTGATAGATTGTTACACTTATATTTAGGCAAATTTATTCTCGCCTCAGCAAAAAAAAATCCAATCGAGCTAAAAAGGTTCAATTAGCGCCAAAAAATGAAAACGATACCAATTCAGGCTTTTTTCTAAGATGTTTTCGCTTCCAGCTTGGTTTTTCACAGAAATACTGATCGCTGCAAGTAGTAACTTTTCATATTTTACAGGTAATGTCATCAGCTTTCAAATAACTGAACAGTGTCAAAAAGCATCGAAACGAGAGTCTGCTAAGATTAAAAAAATCAGAGTAAAATACAACAGAGATCTGTAAGAAACTTATGAAACAAATTTTTTGCTCTAAAAAAACAATTTACTAGCAAAAATGCCGAAAAGCACAGAAGTACGTGGTACATGAGATTTTGGCCTCGATTTAATTTTGAGAATTTTTTTGATAAATCTCTGGTTTATTGAGTCAACTATAGATCTAACCGGGTTGACAAAAAATCCAGTCATACAGGTTCAGACTTGTGAAACTAGCGTTTCACACATCCAAAAAATTGTCTGATATCTCTACGACTAGCATTTTATGCAATGTGAAATTGTGATACTAGCAATTTTCCGTTGAACTAATTTGCGTGACTAGCATTAGTGAAAATTAAAAACGTTTTTGAGTTTCGCGTTAAATATTTGTGGTCAGTTCTAAACACAATAACCAAAAAAATGAGAAAACCAACAGGTTGAGTGGCAAGAATCCCTCAGAAAAATTGCATTCGGAGATATGCTGTGTTATTAATGTTCTAACTTCACAAATAATTATATCAAAAGCTTGTAACTTTTTGTTTACGACTAAAAATCTATTTTTTGAAAATTTAGGGGAGGATGTTAACTTGAACAAGCGCAATATTGAACCTGTAACAAGCGTTGTTTTTTTGACAGGCGTTATATTTATCTTACTATCTAAAACAAAAACAAAACGTTTTTTTTCTAGAAGTTTGTTTATTTTGCCTGGTAACATTAAAAAACTAAGAAAAACTTAACTTTTATTCCTATAATTTAGATTTTCTTGAAAACATGGTAATCTGACAATATTTATGGTATGAAAAAGACTGACTAGAATATTTTAACGAAAAAACGTGCCGTCAATTTCTCTATTTTCTTTGTAGCCAAAATCGGTTTTAATACCATAACGTTTAGGATATCAGTTTTTAACATTCTCAGTTTTAGTTTATAATTTTTTGCTGACATACAAGAAACCGCTATTTTTGAAAATATGCTAGTCATACAACTTTCAAAGTATGAAATTGTATAACTAGCGTTTTTTCCTGAGCTCAATTTGTGAAATTTTATAACTAGCATTTTGATTGAGTGGATGTCAACCCAGGTCCCGCGCTGGTGCTAAAAAGTGTGTCACTGTAAATCATGGTATTCCAAATAATTATTTAAGATGAAACAAGACAAGAAGTCATCCTTATATGCAACTGTGCGAGAAATTTTTTGATGTTTCTTTGAGACTACAGATCACAACGTATTGTGAAAAAGTCTGATTAAAAACGGCAAGTTGAAAATAGTTGCAGAAAACTTCCACTTAAATTTAACAAAAGCATATAAAAGCACCTGAATTTACCGGGCAGTTAAGTTTGCCGGTCACTTAAGTTCTCTAAAACAGCGCCTAAAACTGCCAGAATATTGTGTCAAATGTGAAGTGGAAAGGTCTTAAGGTTATTCCAAAAGGTCTTAAGGTTATTCCAGAACTAAAAAAAATTAGGGACACATGATGACATTTTTTTGATCTTCCAAATTAATTTACAACTACTCACACATATTAGGTAAAAAACGTTACTCCTCAAAACAGGAGCGGATCTAGGATTTTCCCGAAGGGGGCGGATTTTCAAAAACTTTTCAAAAATTTTGTCAACCTTTTCTTAGGTTGACGAAACTAATTTTTCAAGCTTTCCCAGATCTCTCTAAAAACCCCAATTTGACCAAAAGTTTAGCGTCGCAAGCAAATTTTTGAAAAAACATGTCAAAAAACTACTTTGAGGCAACAATTGAAAAACTGGCTTGAAAATTGGACAATTGAAAACTCAAACTGACTTGAACTTAATTCACCTTTTGGTCTGTTGTGTTCAATTGGCAGTAATTTGGTCCATTTCGAGAATTCTTTTGCCCAAGTGAAAGTGATCACGAAAGTCGAGTCGATCCCGATTCCTAGAAGAAAAAGATAATGATTGCTTTTAGCTCACAGCAGTGAGTAGTTTTCCATCAATTTTGAAATTTGATATGGTAAATTCCTTCAGCTAAATTTTCAATTGCATAACTCGTTTTATATCATTTTGTAAACTCCAAAACTAATTCTGATTACAGAACAATTTGAAACTTAGGAGCAAAAATATTTGAAACTTTAGATAGATTTAAATTGTAGATACTAAGAAAATGAAGCATTGAACCTGCTGATTGTTCTAACCTAGCATGATGAAGGGAGCTAGAAATGCACATTGTATGAACTTGACCCCGAGTAGGGCCAGAAGTCCCACAGCGGACCCTATGGCCATGCAAGTGGTGAGTACTCCTGCCACGGCCATGAGGGCCCTGCTTCTCAAAATACCCTGTCGCTTGTTCACAGACACTAGCACCTGGAGAAAAAAATACATGGATATATTTAACTATATCCACCTCGGGTACTTAGTAACAAATATCCCGAATCTAAAGAAGTAAATCAATGGTTTATCAGAATTTCATACCTAGTAACGAATTCCCCCTCTTGCAAATAGTTGAATATAGTTGAAGAGATCCAATATATTAGCGAGAATTAAAAGGATTGTTACCAAAAATGAGGTCCAAAATGAGTTCCTCGAGTCCGAGACTTTCTGCTAATTATTAAAAAAGGTTGGGACGTTTTGAGCGATTTAATTAATTTCTACCGCTAAAAAGAGCGCTCTAGTTTTAGACTGCTTCGGGCAGTTTATAAGCAAGATTTTATAAGATTTTTATTAATTAAAGATAGTTAGGAAATTTTAACAACACTCAATTGAGGGGAGCACTTGCCAATAAACTCAAATTTTGGTAAACACCTTTTTTTGCAGAAATTTGCTAGCAACCCAATACTTTTGGCAATTTAGGATCTTTGAAGGGTTCAGAAAATCTATTTGGTCGACCTAAAAATCGACAAAATTTTTTTTCGAAAAACGGATACACTCCACCCCGCTTGAAGACCTCCAACGCACGCCACTGTTGATAATAATGTACTAACCGAGAAGACAGTCATCAAGACTACTGTGATGGCCATCAGCTTGGAGTCATTCTTCACAATAGAGTGAACTTCGTCGCTCTGCACAATATGCGAGTAGGGCACAAAGGTCACGTGATCTCCCTTGCCAAGTTCATTTCTGACTCGGTACAGTTCGTCAAACAGGGTCCGAATAAAGATGGCTGAGGGGTCTGAGTCGCTGCCACTGTAAGGCACATCAAGGCTGTCATGACTTTAATTTTTGGGGAAAACATTTTTTGTTCCGACTTTCCATACGAAAGTAACGGAATATTTGTGCTCGGGGTGGGTTTTCATTTCTTCAGAAAAATTTCGACTTTTTAACTAGCCAACTTTGACGGAATTTTTTTTATATCATTCAAAAATTATTGTTGTCCTGAGCTTAAATTTGAAAAGATATTTCACCTGTGATTTTTTTTCGTAAAGTTATGAGGGTTTAAAGGTTGCCATTTTGACCAATTTGGGACAATTAACGCGCAATATAATTCGCGCTATTAACGCGTAAGCGGAGATTTAATCCGTCGTATAAATCGTTTCAAATTGGTTGAACGAAGCTTAATTGCCATAATTGATTTGTTACAGGGAACGAAATCTATCTTTTTATACTTTATATGGCGTGTGGGGGGATAATTTTCATTACAAAATTCAAATTTTAGAAGAAAAATAATTCATTTTTTTTTATTTCATTTAATTTTTTTAAGTTATTTTTGCTGCTCCATAAACCTTAAAAGGCAGTCGGAACATTCAGGGCTTCGCCCTGATACGAGCAGTCTTGTTTGACTTTGTGTACGAAACCGCTGTCTTTACTAACACCTCACGAAAAATGAGAATCTTTTCAAATTCTCAGATGATTTAAAAAAAAACAATTAAATCTGTTATCTGCTTTACTTTTCAAACATTAGGGAAGATGCTTTGATGAATTTGGATTTGTTTTATCAAATGATATTGAAAAAACTTTCATGTGCCCAAAAAATTTTTGTTCGCAATGAAAAAAATTTTAAAAATAAAAAAAAAATTTCACTAATCTTTACGCATTTCTGTCCAAAAGTATGTTCTCAATTTACCCCTCAATGTTGGAAAATGCAGTTAAACCCTGAATTTTGAAAAATTTTGTCGATGTTGGTTGTGATATTGCATGCTGAATTAAAGTTGTTTTTGTATGGAAACATCGTTTCCATAAATAGCACCATTTATGGTGAGACGCATGGTTTGCATGGTGAAAAGAAATCAAAATCTAATGAAAGCGTATCGTGTACTAAGGATACTTTTTCTCAGTCATTTCTGTCAATTAACTTCTATTTTCACGGTTTTCCAGAGAAAAAAAACTTTGTGAAACATCTCTTCCATACGTAGCAGTAGCACCATATGATTTGCATGGTGAAAGTTTTTCTTATCTTACCAACAGCTTGCATAATGATGAGAAACCCTTTTTATTACTAATTTAATCCGTTAAAAATTATTATGAGGGTTTTCGAAACAAACGTATGTGCTACGCATGATTAGTCATTTTCCATACAAATCATGCATGGATGTGGATGGTTGCGCATTATCTTCTATGATAGGCAACCCGGGTTATATTCAGTTGGGCACATTTATGTTTGTTTTCAGATAATTTATATCAGAAATAATATTTGACATGACAGCCCTGTAGGTGACTTGAGAAGAGTGTCTGGTTTTGAAGTGCCAAACAAGTCTTAAGGCGGGAGTTTCCAACACTTGATGAGTAAGGGGATCGACCTTAGCACCTCTAGGCAACACCACAGGCTGGAAAGGGGGCTGAAACAGTTTTTTCTGATAAATCAATTCTCTGTATGAACAATTGCAAAAAACCCTCTCAGATTTTAGTTGAATAACCGCTGATACTGGCACACTGACCCCCACAAATGAAAAGTTGCAATGGCATAAAAATACCGAAAAGAATTCCTCCTATTTTATCCCTCAAAGCTTGCTGGGTAATATTGTGTTTCGATTCGGTAAAACCTATTGCAAAACGATGCACGGAGAATTCGTTGCAAGGTACAAAATCAACATATGCTTACCCACTGAATTAGTTGTTTATGGGGGTGCCAGTTCTTTACAAAGTGTCATTGGGGGAGGCAGAGGATTAGTGAACAAGATCCAATGTTTTTAGCTAAATTAAAAATTTTCTCAACTCACTTCAATTGTGATTGAATTTTTGTCCTGTGAATTTTTCAAAGCGGTACACACTATAGGTTGCAGACAACTATCGCCAACACTATAGGCGCACACATCTTCAAAACATCTCATGTGCCCAGAAGGAGATATCTGCAGGGTGAAATTCTCAACAAAATTGCACAAAGACTTCAGAGCTTCGAATCCATAATTGATATCTTCTTTTTCCCACACAATTGCTGAAGAATTTTCCGTTGAATTGAAATGTTTAACTCGTTCTGTTCCAAAACAAGGCATCACTGCCAAAACTGGCAGAGAGACACTGGATCCAAAAGTCTGGAATGGACAAAAGGTGCGGTTTAGACTGGGACTCGGGATAAAAGTGTTGCGTAACTTTTCAGCTGATGACGCAATGGGTTTATTCCGTGGAAAGTAGAGGTCCCAGACGTCGTCCAAAGTTTCCAGTTCGATCCAGAGAGAACCGAGTGTTAAACATAGACTGACAAGGGTGGGAATTAGAATGAAGAGCCAGGGACTTCTGGCTATTGTTCGTCCTGCAACATGAAAATCAAAACATGAAATAATTAGGCGAAGTCATAGTCTTATATTCAGACTTCTATGGTCCCGCTTAAAACGGAAAGGATTTAAGATTTTCCTAGGTGGGCGCATTTACAAAAAAATGAAAGGCATTACGAGGTCAAACTGTGTATTTTTTTTAATCATAGGCGCACTCCGCGCGGCAAGGCGGAAACGGATTTTGAATGCGCACCATTGCTAGTTTTCATCAAATTCTACCGCGACAAAACTAATATGTCGACAAAATTTACGTTACCCGTATTTGAGCCCCAAATCCAAAGAAATTTTGTAAGTGGAACTTTGTAAGGAAAAATTATGGCATTGTGGCGCTCCGGTTATGATGGTGCCCAGTAATCATCTGATTGCGGGTTCAAATCACACTTACGCTGCAATTTCTAAAGTTTTGCACAGTTTGGCTTCATTTTGGTTTTTATTGGTAATGAATTTTGTTGGCCTTATTTGAGTTAGAACTTTTGATTTCCCCAGCTTCCCGAACTTAAAAGAAGGGATGTGGATTGCAGAAATCTGTCGCAGAAATTTGTCCAATGAAAGTTATTGAAGATTTTTTAAAATAAATATGAAAATATTTTTAATGGAATCCAATAACATACAAAAAGAGCCAACATGGTGTTTTGTGCGTGGAGCTCTAAGACAGCCATCTTTAAGACACTGAAGCGTACTCATGAATATATCGCAAAATATTGCGAAATTTTCCCTAAATTTCTCATGTTTGCCTCTGAATTCAGCATTTTTTTTTTGCTTAATTCCATTTTTTCCAAATCCCAGAAATTAGTGCGTCTAAATAAGATTAAATTAGTTCAAACAGCCCAAAAACAGTCAAAGTTTTAGAAATGATAGCAAAGTCAATCTGGTTGATAATAAATATAGGGGGAGGGTTCTAAATACGCTCCTAGCGCAAATGATATTATATCATAAAGTAATTTGCATCATTCATTTTATCAGCAAGTTTTTTATGATATCGGCGGATGGAAAACTTGATATTTTCACTAACCGAGTGAGTCAAAGAGACTTGCTAGAAGTAGTTGGGGACTGTGGTACACTTTGTTGACCCATGAGCCCACAAACTCTACTAGCCTCCTGCTCTTACCTCTCCACTTCCCATGTTCTCGTCCCATTTCAGAGAACAACTCGGATCAGCTTCTGGACGTTGATGCTGAAAAAAAAACATAGCCATTAGATCTCCAGCAAAATGAGAAAGATACTAAATTATAAAAGCACTCAAAAAAGAAACACGCAAACTTCAGTTCAATCAATTTGTTATTTTTTGAACATTTTTCTTTTAAAATGTTTAGTACACTGATCGAAATGCTGCTCATACAGTTTCCAAAAAAAAAAGAATTTATTTATGACTGGGGTTTTTCAATTCCATAATTGACAAGCTTGCAACAGGTTGGTACGAAGAAAGCAGTCAATTTTTTGCTGTTTAATTATATGCTGTTTGAACAATAGACAATTAGTTGTATTATGCTTGATTGGTATGATGTTAAAAGTGTATGCTTGTAGACCGCATACCAATTGAAACATAGGTATTTTGGCAGACTTGATAGACAAATTTGATTGAAAGGTGTTGTGGCGCCGTCTAGTTTGGTTAAAACAATATTTTGTGCAAATTTTTATTGTCTTAAAGACTTCCTTTTTGAATCTCACTTAATTTTTTTAAGTTGAGAAATGAAATAGCGGCGCACTAAATCTTGCACAATTTAGTTTTTGTGCCGAGTGTATACAAATAACAATCATGCTGAAATAGTTTTTGTGAGAGCTGTGTATACAGACCTGTATATTCATTTCAGACGCAAAAAAATCAAAAAATCTAATTTCAAATGCGCCAAGTATATTTCTCCAGCCAATGCAAAGTCAACACCTATTTCTTAAAAGACGTTTTTCAGGAACCTAGATTACTGACAGGCACTAACTAACGAGCACAAAACCTTTAAATTCCAATAACTCACATGAACAAGGGCAAACGATTGCTATGCAAAACGCACAGAATGTTCCGACCATAATCATACAAAAACTACTGAAAAAGATTCTTTTTTTTTCAAATTGAGGTCTGTACGCGGTGAGATTAAAAAACTATTAAAAAACATGGAGAAAGCATCAGACTAGTGAATAATGAGATAATTTGTCCAAAAACAAAAAATGAATGGCAAACAAAAAAATGAGGAAAAAAAATTAAACAAAATTTTCAGCAAACTTCAAAACATGTTTGCAATTTTTTTTGCCTATGAAGCGCTTAGTTGAACTAGATTTTGACTAGGAAGCGCTAAATAGTTTTCGTTTTAGTAAAATCAAGTTTTCATAGCCTAAAAATTCAGACAACGAACTTTACTCAATCGCTTTACTCGCTCAAAATTAGACTGAAACTCAAAAGTTTTGATCCGATTTTTCTGGACACTTGGAAAAAATTTTCAAAAGTTTTTTAAAATAGTTCGAATGACGGCTGAAATAACTTTAATATGATATCCCGGGTTGACCAAAAATGCTACTCATACAATTTTTATCAATGAAAAAATGCTATTCATACACTTATCATGCAATCCCATAAGTACAGAAAGTTGCATGAAAAGTCTATGATTAGTGATTTTTCATATATGGAAAATGTATGACTAGCATTTTCCCATAAACCAAAAAATAAGTTTTTTAAATTTTAATTTCTCAAAATTCTTGGGATGTGTTTGTGACCAAACACAAGTGACAAAAACCATGGTTTACTCGAAACTAGAGTCATCAAAGGTTTGATCGCCTCGCATTTACAATGCATAGGAAACGACCTGTATTATATAACAATTTTCTTTTACCAATAATATACTGAAAGCATCAAACTTTTTAACTTTGGCAAAAATTTTCAATGATGATTAATTTCAAAATTTGAATTTTTAAACTATCAGACATTGATCAGGGTATACATAAAAATGCCATACAAAAAAGTGGGAGTTTTTAGCGTTTCTGAAAAAAGTTATTCAGAGAAACGGAAAAAAAACAATTTTGTGTATCCAGGATTACGTTATGCACACAAAATATTATATTTTGCATGCAAAAAAAAATTGGAAAATGTTTGTTTTAGTACAAATTTCGATTTGCGGTTGAAAAAAAACTTGATGCAATTTCATCAATTTCACAATTAACTGGAAAATTTTTTGTCACCATAAAAAAGCTAATCATACAATTTCCATGCTTGGAAGTTATATGATTAGCGTTTTTTGACAATTTTTTTTTCTTTTTTATTAAGTACGATACACCAATTTTTATGCCAAATTAAGAAAAAAAGTTCTTTGAAAATTCAATGACACCATTTTAGCAAAATGAATGAAACTTTCTTGATTACTTTTTTTCCATAGACTTAGTTTATGGAATTGTATGACTAGCATTTTTGGTTAATAGACTTCAACCGGGGTTATCATTCAATCCATTCCGATGACTATTTGTGGTAACTGAGCTTGCGTGGAAAACAAAAGAAAAAACTAAAACACGCCCGAATCCAAAGTCCTTCCCCATTTTCAATGGCTGGAACAATAATGGTGCAAGAAGAGCAGCTGTTCTTTCAAAAACTTAAGAATCAAACAAAAATTGTTGAATAAAAGAATACACTAAGTCACTTCAATTATCTCAAAAATCAATTTTTTGTTTTGATATCCAGTGAGACCTTCGTCAAACTTAAAATACATGTATGAACTAAAATTAAAAATCTGTAGCACTATATTTGATTTTGCGATGAAAGTCATGATTTTTGTCCATGCCTATGAATCTGTTAGAAGAGCGCTGATCTATACTGTCTTTTTTCTAAGCACAATTTCTCGAAAAAGCTTCTCTGTGTTCTTTGTAGTAGTTAGAACATAGTTGAAAGATGCCCGAGGGAAAAAGAGCCCGGCCTGAGGGCACGAAGTGCCCGAGTGCGGCTTTTTTGCCCGAGGCCATCTTCAACTATGTTCTAACTGTTGAGAGTATGTTTTTGCTCTTTCTGAGGGAAAGATGCCAGAAAATTGTAAAGGAGCCCGGAAAGTTGTAAAAGAGCCCCGAAAAGTGCGCGAAACTATGCATATGATTTCTTTTTTCATTCATGCGTTCTAATATTTCATTTTCTATTCATGCCTTGTCGTGAAAGAACATGTGTGAAAGAGCAAAAACATACCCTTCTTAATCTGCTAGCACTCTATATTTGTCGATCAATGAAAACTTTTGAGCATCGCAAAAACGGAAACGACTGATTACAGAATAATGCTTTCAAAAATAAACCATTTGCAAAATTTTGATCGGATTTTTTGCCAAAGTAACACACAGGTCAAATTGTTACGGAATTTCAAATTTTTTGGAATTCGACACAAGTGCTACCAAAAACTAGCGAAAAGTGCGACAACTTCAATGAAACCACATTGCACAAAAGGACTGTCTGGCGTAGTGATCGAAAACAATGTAGAAAACATTGAAAGAAAATTTTCAGATAAAAAAGGAAATGGCCGATCGACCTTGGCTAAAAATAACAGTTAAGTATGAAACTCAAACTAAATTTGGGTTAAATTTAGGCATGTAATTAGGGCAATATAATGTCAAACCGTATAATCATTTACCGCAAGTAGAATAAAAAACAATTGAAAGCCAACTGAAAAAAAAAACAATTGAACCTGCAAGATTGCAAAAAATCCGCCCACTTGAATCTGGTAAATTTTAAGACTGGTTCTATTAAGTTAACAAGGCGTGGAAGAAAAAGGGAGATAAAAATAGAAAGGAAGCAGCTCACCAATTGGCAGCAATTAATTGATCACTTCCGCTCTTCAATTTGTTCACTTCTGATTTCAGTAGATGCAATGAGAACGATTGATCAGAATAATAAGATACATATGAGCTGTTTACGTGAACAACGAGTGTCGAGTATAAACCAAAGGGGATTAGGTTAGATCACTCTTTCTTTCCCTCTTCCCCTCCCGTAGACCTGTCAAAGACGAGAAGTGGAAGAGGAAAGCATTTGACAGAGCACTCGTGCAACTGGCCGACAACCTCTGCAGCCGAAATGTTGTAGCCAGAATCAGTGAAATTAGTGGGCAAGGGCAGCGCGCAGGTTTAGAGGATTCAAAGAATTTTGAAAGTGAAATAAGGTTCGCATTTTGCAGCAAATTCAGTGCAAGTTATTCCATTTTTATTTAATAAGGGACTTTTTATGGTCGAACAACTCGAAACTCTCTTGGCTCGATCAAAGAAAACCCTAAATCCACTGAATATAAATAAACATGGTTTCAGCTCAACTTAATCAGCTATACCTGAGAGCCGACAACATTAGGTGAATCAAGCAAAACAAATGGAAAAATCATGGATTCTTTTGAAAAGTTCGCCTAGAAAACTTGGCGAAGAAAACGCGTTAAAGTTTTAAAAGGCTTGAAAATATTGAAAACATAAACTTCTTGTTGCTTCCGATTATTCGACCGTTTGACGTTTCTGCTCTTTGATCTATTTTCACTGCAATAAGAGAGTCTGGATTTGATTGTAAATCGATCTGAATCGCGTATTTGATTAATTCTGAAGGCATTTCCACTCTCTATTCGAGCGAGAATGGCAATGTTAATGTATGGGCTAGAAATGGAGTCTATGCACTTATTTCAAGCAAAGGTAGAGCAAAGAGAAGCGGATATACAAGACATTGAGGCCAATTTAATTTGTTACGCGGGTAAGAACCCAAGAAACCTCACTGAAAAAAAAAACGAACTACGATCAGTTCTGCAAAGAAAACCCCGAGTCTAACCAAGTCTAAAGTCTAACCAAACAACCAAGTTTAAAGCGGGTCGTTTTAACACAAATAACGGTGATTTTTATCAAAAATTTATAAATTTGTTTGTTACTCCTATTTCATTTAAGGCAGTTTACCCTTGAGCCTTTTTTCCCGATAATTGCACTCGTGGTCTGTTTTTTTTTTTAAATGCAACTTATGTAATGAATTTTCAGGGCGGGCCTCAGAAAGGTAAATTGAATTGCTTTTTTGAGTGTCCTTGGTGTTATCGAAAATGCTTAAGGAAGTTATACCTTTGTGATCTTTACTCATATCTTAACTAAAAGAAGTCGAAATGAAGTTCAAATTAATCAAAACTTCAGTTTAAACTTTTACAAAAAAAACGCCAAAAGATTGATTTTAACAGCTTTTGTCAAGTTTAGTTTGTTTTACTACAAACCGTTTAACTCAGAAGAAGAAAGGTTCAATAGGCCTTCTTTGAGTTTTCTACGCTAAGTTTTCTACACGCAACTTTTGAAGAAAATTTTGATTTTTTTCCAAATTTCTTTTTTTGACCAACGTGTGTTTTCAACACTCAGGTATAGCTGGTTAAGATGAACTGAATCCGTAATCATTTATAGTGAATGGATCTCATTTTAATTATCTAGAGATCACCAGAATAGACACAACAGATTTTCATTATCATGAGCATAAAGATATGTGGAGTATGTATGTAATTATGGACCTCCTCTTTTGTTCCGGCCATTGAAAATGGGGAGAAACTTTATACTCGTGTGTTTTAGTTTTTTTTGCTTAAGCAAAATCAATCAGGCACCACAAATAATGATCGGACTGGGCTGATTGATATATCATAATAAAGCGCTTTCAGTCGTGATTCGAGCCACATTAAAAAGTTTTCCCAGTGTCGAGAAAAACCGTTTTGAATTTTTTTTAATTCGAGCGAATAAAGCAAGCGAGCAGGCTTACCAGCTGAACTATGCTTAAATTATGACCTTAAAATTTAATTTTTAGAGAGTAAAACTAGTTTTTGGAGTTTTATAAGTTTCATTTTGGGCTCTTTCTTCCAATTCCTTGGCTCTATTACAAACACAATTTGTGCTGGTATCTTAAGAGACATATCCTTTCAAGTTTGAGCTTTGAAAAAGTTTTTAGAGAGAAAAGTTTTTGTAATAAACTACTTGATGACGTTTTTTGTGTGATGTTCCGTACACTTTTGTTTTACTCTATATCGATGTAAAGGTTCAACGTAATTTGAACAAATTTTTGGAAGCTGCTTTTAGCTTAAACTAAAACCTGAATCAAATTTAGAGAGAAACAGACTCAAAAATTGTCAGCTTTTTGAAATTAAGATTTGTGTCCATTAGACTACCAAACATTTTTTAATGAATTTTTTTTTCTGTACATCAAACTCCTCAATTGAAAGTCAGTGTTATTACAGTTAAAAAAATTGTTACTCTTTGTTGGATAATATTTATAAAATTCAACTAAAATCCAGCGATTCAAACTAGCGTTTTTTGCCAAAGAATTGTTCCTTGGTAGACATATTTCAGCGTCAATTTGCTTTCTGATAGCCATATTTCAGCCTTGATTTAAAGTTTTGTCATTTTACAAGCAGCAACTGCAGTCACTCACAGTACAACAAAAACTTGTTAATTTTGGTTTAGGTAACTAACGAATCAGCATTTTGAGTTTTAATGAGAGTTTTGAACCGTTTTTGTAATCAAGCGAGTCATGTTAGTATAAAATATAACAAAACGAAGGTTAAAAATCAAATTGATCATGGACAAAAAAAATAAAATCAGTTACTCTAAGTTAGTAAAAAAAGTTAAGATGAATTTCAGTGCAAAACTTTATTCTTCAACCATAAAAAAACACCACACTTCTTAACCTACTTTTTGTACCCTTTTTGCCCAACAAGGTTGCATACGAAAAAAAGATGAAAATACTTAACTGAAAAGCTGATAATATTAGCTTAGTTACTGCTACATAGAGTTTCAGTCTTTCACTAATACAGTGTTGGTTTAATTTATCTAAAAAAGACGAAAAAATTTGAAGCTTCAAAAGTGTTTTTCTCAAATTAGGTTACGGCTAGACAGAAAAAGAAAAAAATTTCGTCAGGTTTCATGTAAGTGTATTTTTTTCATCGAAATTCTCAACCATAAATTTAATTTAAAAAGTGTATTTTGGCTTCATTAATTCATCAAGAATTACCCTGAAACTACTGAATTAAGTGATTAAAAATATATCGAAAGAAGCCTTTCACACAGCTCAAAACTTTTTTAGGGTTAAATTTCCAAACATTTGCTATAAAAATTTGAAATTTGTTTTCAACAAAGATTTTGTTTTTTATCAGGAGAAATTATATTTTCTACGCAGATTTTTGAAGGTTTAACGCTTCTGAGTTTTTTGAACTGTGTGAAAGGCTTCTTTTGATATAATTTTCTCGTCTATAAATGGTTAGTTTTAGCGGAATTCTTGATTAATCAAAAAAGTCAAATTGAAACCGTTTTTGGGGTAAAATTTGTTTGAGATATTCGAAGAAAATATGCACCAGATTAGTTCTCGCGAAACTCTAAGCTGTTTTTGTTTTTTTTTCTGATCTTAACCCATTTTGAAAAATCGCTTTTTAAATTTATATCAGCACTGTTTATATCTAGTTCAAAGCTAACTTTTAAAACGATTACATTGCAGCAAGCAAAATACCTAAAAATTGGCAGGTCAGTAAGGAAACGTATAAAAAGCTCTTCATCAAATCATTTTCTCAAAATAAAAACCTGATTGAAACGCTATCCGAAAACTTTAGTTGTTTTCCTCATGCAACTGAAAATCCCAAAAATCAATCCAGTTTGAATAATTTTGGCCGAAAATAATTTAGTCATGACTGCGAGCAGTTTTGAGTTTTCAGCTTTGATGCCCACAAAAAAAAACAGGAAAAAAATTTATTCAAGAAAAACTTCAGATCTGAGACTGATCTGCTTCACATCTGCTTCGCATCACTTGTGATACAACACAAACATTAAAAAACGTCAGTCGAAAATAAAAAGCTTATTTGTTGAAAAAAAAACTAAGTGAATCAAAGTTTTTGTATGTCTCGATAAAAAAAAACAGGAGCCCAGTTAAAGCTGGAGATACGTGTTTCATATTAAAGGAAATTACTGTACTGATTTGGCACCAAAAATGTGATTTCAAAAGTGGATTTTGCCCAAAAATTTAGTTGTTTCTCTACGAAAATAAGTGAGAAGAGTGCAATTAAGGAACCGCCGCTTTTGCAGATAGTAACAACTATCGCAACCGGTTTTTTCAGTTGAAATTTTAATTTCCAATTTGATTGAGTATATTTTATGAAATTTCAAAAAAGTTTCTAAAAAACGGTCATTTCAGCAGAAAAGGTTCCCAAAACGGAGTTTTTTAACTGAACACAACCTGACAATTATCACGGTAGAAGTTTCCAAAAAACTGTCAAAGTTTCAAAACCTTGACATCTGTGAAGGCTATGACTTTTTAAATACAAACTGGGCATCGCCTGTTTTAAAGGTAGGACTTCAACAACCTGTTGTTTCGATTATACCTATGATATCGGATTTGGCAGGCTACTTAGCTAGAAAAAGCCAAAAGAGGTCAACAAATCAAAAATTTAACATTTCCAAAAATTATGCCTTTTTTGTGTCAAAATAGGGCTTAGCCGCTTAAGCAGAAGTGATTTACTCAACCGGCAATTTCCGTGGTACCCAAAATTTCAGACTTGACAGCGTAGTTCACGAGAAAGTTCAAAATCTTTAACAAAAAAAGTTTGACTTGTCCGAGGGCCATAAATTTTAGTGTCAGATAACTTCGGGCGTATTCGCATAAGCAACATGGGCGCATTTGCATGAGCTTTCCGCAACCCGTTCTTTGAGTTGAACCCTAATTCTCAGATATGGCAGGGTAGTTTTCGAGAATCTTCGAAAAATGAGAAACGGTCAAAATGTCAAAAATTTGACTTTTCCGAGGTCAATAACTTTTGTGTAAAATAGTTTAAAAAACTTTTTGTTGATAGTCACCAAAACAGGGGAGCCTCCAACTACGCATTATTTCCAGTCACCAACAATATGTGATTTGAGAAACTATTTTTCAAGAAAAGTCAAAAAAGATTCACAAAACGGTCATATTTCTAAATTTTGACTTTTCCGAGGGCCATAAATTTATGTGAAAGAAAAATTTGGTTATATCTGTTTATGCAGGGAGTTTTTCAGAACTGATTTTTCAATGAAACCAAGATGTGAGAGGCGTAGTTTTTAAGTCAATAAAAAAATGGGTTGGTTCAAGTATTCCTTCACAGACTTTTTCGAAGGCTGTAGACAGATGGGTTAAATGAAAAGAAACTATAGGGGTATGCAGACCTACAAAGGATTAGGT